CCTATGTTAATCCTCATGATTTGTTGTGCTGCAAAGATTCGATATTGAACATATCAACAAAATGTCTTAATACTGCATGTTTTGGCTAAGAATTCTAAGATTTTGCATTTAATATGAGAAACGAACCTACAGACAGACGATATATCTACGGTTTTCAAACATATAACAATCCCATTTTGGACGATCAGTCTCAAGTGTAGAAGAAGGATAGACAATAGACTATTAGGGAAGCAATTTGTAACAACTAAGGTTGAATGTCTAGGAGTTGACCAAAATGATCTAAGCAAACGTTAAAATATTAAAACTCAATAATTCACTCAATTCTTTATCATGTTTAGGGATTATATATCCTATTGTTAAACATTGAAAGTTGAAAAACTTTGTGCTTGAAATCGGTAGCTTCGCGCTCTGCTATGTGTTGTCCCACGATCTAACTACAGACCTATTTGATAATAGCCTAGTGTCTTCTATAAATAGAACGAGGGGTACACAACGGCACGAAGAAATGTTACATTACCTCACAATCCACAGCAAGACAGGGGAAATAGCTTGAGGTGTCTACCGTCATGAGAAAGGTCAGCAAAACAAAGTGTCGTTCGAGTCCTCCGCCTCTGCACTTTAAATTAACTAATCAACATTTATTAACATGCCTGCGCTATGGTTCGGCTGAGGCTCTGTGACATTTCACTGGTTCTACACCAGAACATTTATGGTAGTCATGTAAACCATCTGATCGACCGGCTAGTAATAATTTATCTTTTATCACTATTATTTCTGATCGTTTCTGTTAACACAGCCAGAACATTCGAATGTTCCAGTAATCTTGCGTTATAAGTCACAATATGTACGAGTGTGCATGCTTAGATGTCATCCGTAAGTAAACGAAGGGAGGATTTTTCCTACTCCTCGTAGGACAACCATGTCTAACAGGAATGAGGATGATACCTCACTGGCACCTTTTCTCCTCACATATTTCAATCACAATAGCGCAGCATTCACTTTCACTACTTTCCTCTTATTACCAAAATAATCATCTACACAATTTCTAACCTCATGACTGATGCTAAAATCATCAACTTCTAATTAAGGATCAGGGTGTAAGACCCAAAATCTAGTCAAAGTTTATTTATGTATATATATCTATCTTTCTCAGCAGTTCGATATTTCATACAAATGATGTGCATTAAGATCAAGGGACATGACTAAAACCACCGTTAATCCCAATCAATTAGGAAAAGCCAACCAATAACATTTGAGTTAAACGCCTTCTTAAAACTAGTCAATAGAATTATCTTCTTTATTTTACTATAAATCGTGAAGTCACACAGGCTTCATTCATGAACGTGAGTTTCAATGTCGATTTCACATAGCTTATTCTAAATTCTAAACAGGCCAATTTATCTATTCTTCATGAGTCAACTTTTGACCTTGTTAATTATTCACCTATCAAACCCGACTGTTTTTATATGAGCATGTTTTTACATCTTATCCTATTCATCATATGTCTATTGCTTATTTTTGTGCGACAATAAATGTCGATTAACGCTTGATTAAATGGAGTCAGATTACACGCCTTCTCTACCACGTCATTTCGCTTCGTTCCTTTTATTGTCTGTCCAGATCAACATGTGTACAATATATATGTATTAAAAAAATCAATTCTCGTATTTGACCCATTTAATTCCATTATTCACTAACGCGATTTGAGTCAATTATTGCATACGAGGATGGTCGATATGTGTGTTTCAGTAACAGTCAACCACACAATTTAACTGAAGTTAGATATCGGACCACTAAAGACTAACCATATCAATGATCCATTATGTTATTCCTATTCACCTTTAGGTAGACATGTGTTTATTTTTTGGTAGTAATTGACTGAACTATTTTATGTCTTCGTACTAAAGGAAGTAATTTACGTCCTAGAAACAGATAATTTCGATTGGGTATATCTGTAGTTACCTTTCTAAACTGTAGGTCCGCTGAGACTGAGTACCGGATTACGGGGACTGTTCATAAATTTCTTCCGTAAGCAGATCAGATCTTACAGCCACGATGTCGGCCTGCAAATAATAATCGCCATCATGAAAGCTTAAATAAACTCATTATCCTTAAGAGAGCATTTGCAAGATATATAACGTTGAAGATACCACAGGTATTTGGAGTTTGACAACGCTTTAAGCAGTCACGCCTAATATTAATCGCACCTACCAAGTGAAATCAAAAGACAGAAGCGAGAAGATTCGAAGATATATTTGATAATCTATCAATATCTCGAGGATCATCTGATCTAATATGGCTAGCGATTGCAGGGGTTGTTGAGCACGGCGTCCCCCCACGTGATATGGTGCGGATGCATGACCAAGCGCCTTCAGCCTGATGAGTCCATTAAATCTAATGTAGTCAGCATCCAATGTCAAAAACTTACAGAGCCATTTATGTTGTGGATTTATTTACTGCTGCAACGTATTCACCGGATAATGTTTCACTTCAAAATCTTCTGTATTTTTGTGCATTTGCATTAGCTTTAACCGTTATTTTATAAAAAATTAAGCGAATGTAGTTAAAAGGGTGATGATCACTTTGGTACATCTACATTACACCATTAATGTATACCAGAAGATCTAAAACTAAAGCTCCAGTGTTAACTGCATTAATGCTATATTTCACTCAGGTTTTCTCGTGAAAGGCTTGAAACAGATGAAACTGAGGTCTATGCTATTGTGGCTTTTAATTCTTTGAAGAAACATTGTGTATTAACACTTAAAAGACAGTTAACCAAGCTGAGGACAACAAAATTTGAGATGAAGAAACAAGTATACACGTTTCGATGTAGATGCGAGTCTGCCAGAAATGGTACAACAGTAGTAAAAACGGCTGCAAAGGAATAAAGAATTACGGTAAAAGATGAACAATCAACCTTCCAGCTTAAAATTTTTCAAGCCAACCATCCCAACGAGCATATTTTGACCACAAGTTCAGTTTCGGTTTTTTGTTTGGGAAGGACAGGAGGTTTGATGGCCTGTGTTAGTCCTGGAAATCATGGTTACTCGGTTGATCCAACTTTCTTTTGAAAAAGTCGACGGACGGACCCTCAATCACATGCAGAGGTAATGAATTCCACTCGTTGATAGTTCAACGGGAAAGTCGATAGTCATCTGATAAGTAATTTGTTCTGGGCTCATGAACTTTAATTGAGTGTCCTCGTAAATTCTCTGTTTTATAAGACAAGAAAAATGATGGCATATCTGGTGCAAATTTATCACTAAGTAATTTGAAAATTGTAATCAAGTCACCTCTAGTCCTTCGATATGATAACGGGAATAGGTTTAGCTTAGCTAGTCGAGCACCATACAGGAGCTTCGCTATTCTGAGAATCAGCTTAGTTGCTGTTCTCTGAACCATTTTCAATGGCTCGCTGTCCTTTTTGAGCAGAGGCTAGCCGCTTGTATGCGGTACCCAAGTTTAGGACATAGGAACACTGTATACAAAGTCAAAAAAGTTTTGGCGTCGACATGACTATGGACCCTAATTCGCCTGACTACCTAGTCTATACACCTTTAGCAAGGTGACTCCCGAGATATTTTGAGGCATAAGCTGATTTAGAAGTTGTTTAATCAACCCAACGTCGTGCTCAAAACGAGTTTTAGGTTCTAAGCGTTCACTTTCCTTACTTCTATAAAAAATAACTGACCTGTCACTATGATCAGTCTTCAATTTCTCGGATACATTTTGGGGGTTTGGATTTTCATTCATATCGTTATGCCGTTTCTTGTTTACGATCTGTACCCATTCATCAACTTTCTTTAGAGTAGCAACCACAGTCGCGTCAAACACATGGTGCGATTCCGAAAGGTTATTGAAGACTTTGGCAGCCAGGTTGTGTTTCCTACTAAAAGCAGATTGAGCCTTGCCAAAGCAGTGCTTAGGTGTTTCTTGACGACTACTATTTAGAGGACGTGGGACAGAAGAAACGTCCTTTCTGGAGTTTTTATTTAGGACAGACCTTTTTGTAGACAGACTTTTCTCCTTTGATTGCTGTGAGTCAGTTGTTTATGAGCTCACGCGAGGTGACTTTAAATCAATTTGTGTGTCGACAGAGAGAGTACTGTCAGATATGTCTCGACATCGTTCGCTAACACACTTTTATGCAGCATTTACCATTGAAATGACCTCGGTTAGCAAGTTGTTTGCGTTCGAGCATCACTGCCTGCAAAGCCATACGCAAACGATTTTACTAAATCATTTGAGTGCCGTAGACGTCGAATTCGTGCAAACATCGTAGTACCAGTCTTTGCACTCATCGTGCTACATGACGGATCCAACGGGATATCGACAGCCCGGACGTTGGCAATTACTTTTCTTGAACTGTTCAATCACCAAAAAGAGGTTTTCAATAAAACTAGATACAATAGTACCCAGGGACAAATGTGATATATGGCCGAAAAAGTGGTAAACCGTAATTTGTTAGAACCAAAAAAAACTAACATATACAATAGAAAACAAAGTTTTTAAAATGCCGACGATAAACTATTTTAAAAGCAAAAATGACACTCTCATCGGGTACCTTAACTGAAATAAACTAAATTAAAGTGTAGAAAGTAGTCTTGATAAGTAATAAACGATCAAAGTAATAGGATTTTCTCAGTAAGGAAATATATCACTGTCAATAAATAGCACACCTAATTATTTTGGTAACCAGTTATGGTCCATAAATTATTAAAAAAATAAACGAATGAATAATTTTTACGTGCACGATTTTCTCAATTCATCGCTTTTAGAAGGACTTTTAGGAATAAAACGCAACATTTCCCTGAGTAGCTACGGCAATTAATTTTTTTATTTCACAGTAACTTTTCTTACGTTGCATGTAAACGTTAAATTAGTCATACATATCCTGGTAGTAGAACCAATTATATTCAGCCGGAGGATTCGAGAAATATCGAAAATTTCACTTTTTCCCATTCTGACATATTGCTTGTTTTAGTTCAGTCTAGGTCACGCGCCAACTGTGTGGCGGCCACATCTTTTGCGCGAGTACTGTTTGTGTTTCGTAACGACTTCCTTACATAACAGTACCGAGTACTTGTTGATAGTCGATCTCGCGCAGATATATATTCACATAGTTCATCCTGGATTTTTTTGTAGGTCTAGTTCAATATTGACTGATGTAATCATGTTACTCTTTTCATGCTTAACAATTGTTAACGGCTTTAAAGCCGTTAATTTTTTTTATTTGATACGAAAGCGATACATCCCATCTAGAAATCTTTTTCGTCACATAAGCAGTAATTTTTATGTGCGTCTGCTTAAAAAATATGACTCGTGTGGTACTGTCATACTATCGTAGTTTGTTATTTATATCCTTTTGATTCTTTTTGTTTTCTGTCTTCAACTTTTTCATTACAAGATGCCTCTGTTTACTCCTTAAAGTGTAAGTTCACCTAGCGCTTTATGTACTGTTGATCAGGGCATTCTTAATAAAGATGGTTTAGCTGTCAGGTTGAAATTGTGCATTCATGTACAAGGATCGTTTTCATCTTGCTAACTTCTGCCACGTATTTGTAGTTAGGTCACAATATTTTCATGAAATAACAAGAATACATCCACGTGGTCCTTGCGTTTCGAGGCACCACACAAACTCAACCCAACTCCTAGTAAATTAATTCATTATTCTTTCGAATTTGTTATTTTGACATTCAGAACCTAGATTGCTTTTAAACTTCCCAGTCTCCAGGTTGGTTTTGATCACCGGGAGTTGTGAACAACCTGATCATGCTGCAAAATCTGCATTTTTGACGTTTAGCTTCTGAGGAAAGTACAGACCACACATTTGGATTTTCACATCCAAACCATACTATGTAACTAAAGAAATTGAGTATTTGGTACATTCTGTGCCTAATGTCCACTACTTATGCCTTTGCGTCAGCTTAGGGTGGATATTTTGTCACCGTTTATATTTCACATGATTTTGTGATCCCTTTACTACTCGATATAGATGAGTTCATTTCTACAATACTCAACTTGTCCCTACTAATTACCTTATCTCAAAAAAGCTCTTTCACAGACTATTCTCTTTTTAATTATTCGAAAAGATTTGGTTCATGTTAATAATTTCAAACTCTTTGATTATGGGTTTTGTGAACTCCTTGCTTGTTTATAGTACCTTCTGACGTAACCTATATCATGAGGTATAGAATAGAAGTTTGTCTTCCATCATCCAAAAAGCTACATGTTTAGAATGTCTTCTGGGTTAATTACACTCAGCCCAACTTTATATCTTACTGCTTCACTGCATTGTAGTATTCGTAACTACTCTAATCTTGATCCTAACCTTCCAAAATATTCATAAATGTATCGTCAATTCAACAATCCACTATTAGTTTTAAAGTGCGGGAATTTTTACGGGATTTTATTTTAAATTTCACATATTACTGGCCTCCACTACCAATATTTATTAGAGTTACTTTTCCCTTTTACAGATTATACTAGACGAGTGGATTACCATCTCTTTCTACTCTCATTCTATGTTTCCCTGAATAGTGTTGTCAGGAAAAGAAAGCATAAATCATTCCATTAACTATAGTAATTTCTCAGTAAACGGGGCAGAATCTCTAAGATGGATTTCAGAGAGCTTAATGAATAATTATGTTTACTCCTCCAAAGAATGAATGAGTCGTCAAATCGTAACTGCCTAGTCGGTAGAAATACTGGATTGAATCCTAACGTCATGCGTGACAGTTTGCGTGTACTTAACTCTTCGTGTACTGTAACCACAACTACTCATGCTCTTGAAAATCGATCAAATTATCCACCGAATACTTCGAATCACGGGTTTTTATGCTCCGAAAATGGTTTCAATAAGTCTATCTCCACTTTTCCCAATTGTTCGGTTGATTCCTGCTTTCCTAGTCTCACTGTCTCAATGGAACAGAATTTGGTTACGGATTATTCTCAGTGTCATTCATGTGGTAGCTCCCCACCGCCTCCAGCATTATCTCCCGTTAGTTCCTCTCCTACTCATGGGAGCAACAACCAAAATAACCAACCTTCCTCCCCTTCTCCTCCAATCATAGTCGCTGAAATTCGAGGTCCTTCATCCATTTCATCTCAATCAGCTTCCGAGAAAAGCTCTCATCCCAGGGGTGCATTTAAAATGAATCAACATGCTTCTCAAATTCTGAGTAAACCACCGAATTCTAGTTGCCCAAGGATAGCAAGCGATATGTTTATGTCTAGTTCCAGTAGTTCATCTTCGTCTACATCTTCCTCCTCGATTTTGAACGAGGCTAACCATTCTGCTAATGGTTTACCAATTCTCGAAAAAATTTCTATTGTTCTTGGTTCACCAAGACGACCAGTTGGCGAAAATTCAATAATTCGCGCAAATAACACTGATTCACCTTTAAAAAATGAAGATGCAAGACTTCCAAAGTTGGTTCTAGAGAATCATATCCATTCATCAAATAGTAAAGAAAACTCCCCAGAGAAGGTTGATGAACCCCTCAAAGCTGACTCGTCTGTTAAAAATGAAGATACTAAGTCGAATGTATTGAATCAAAAGTCTAAAGTAGCAACAAAACGAAAAACATCAGCTCGATCAAGACGTCGACCTAAATCACGAAAAATTCGAGGAGATTCTGATTCCGATTTCGAGCCATTTTCCCAGTCTCAAGCAGGTGGATCTCGTGGTAGAGCCGATGCCAGAGCTCTTATTCGTCGGGTTCAACAAAAAGTCAGCAATAAAAAGTGGGTTTTTTCACTCGTTTCAAACATATGTGTGCATGGTTTTTTTACATAAATATTTAATTTTATAATAATATATAATGTATTTATTCAGGACAAGTTGTGGCTTTTATTCTGTCAAGTTTATCGTATAAGTGTGCCTTATTATTTTTGCTTACTAGTTTTTTTATGTTTAATACGTTGTAGACCACCATAAGGAAAATGTAAAATAATGTTAACACTAATCCTAGAATTTATTGCTAAAGAATAAATGAACTTCACAAGATAACACAAACAATTTCAGACAGTACACAGAAATTTTCTTACTTTCATTACATCTACTTTGTAAGGCTGATCTGTGATAGTGGAATGACTTTAGCATGTACTTAAGTTCCTCCAGGTCTTATTGAACTATTTATTCGGGAACCTGATATATCAAATGAAATAAAGCTGATATATCCACACTGTATGCTTTCATTCGTTGGATGACAAGAATTGATAAATACATTAAAAATCTGATAGAACAGACTAGTCTATATTATAACTATACTTTCATTCGTATGTTTCATTTCCTTAGTTTTATCAATTTAAAATTTTCAAATCTCCGAATTTTTATTGAAGTTCATAGACATTTAATGTCATTAATGTTTTTATTTGTAAAGCAAGATCATCCAACAATCGAAAACATTTCACTTTGTAATATCTTAATTTGAGTTTATTCTCAATCGTTTTTAGATCTGTTGCTGGTGTTACATCTGACACTCCTGGTGGGACCAGTGCAGATATTGCAATGCGCAGAAAGTATTTAGAATCACCCTTTTTATGTCTTTGCCAAGCTGGAGGAACAGTTTCTAGTCTTATGAAAACTTCGGACAACTTCACTAAATACAATTGCATTCCTTCTGGATCTAAAATAGTCTGTAATAATTCAACTACTAATAATGAGTTGATTGATATGAATTCATCTTTTTCTGCCCATATAATTAACCCAGCTTTACGTGACTTGTCTGTTCAACAAGTTAATGGATACTTCTCTCATTGTACCATGCCTGTTAGTTGTCCATTCAAAGCTAATCTAAGTGGAAACGCATCAATTAAACTTGATAAACATGACGTCGGCATGGAATCTCGTAGTATTCTTACAGGTAAGCATAAATTTCATTTAGATCGTTTTCGTAACAGTGTACGTAACTTGTGCAGGTCACAACTTATGTGTATATAAATTTTTCACCTTAGGTATTACATATAGACCTTCAGGACCTCTCCGGGTACGTGACTATCAGTTCCCAACCTCAGTAAATCCTAATAGCCTTTGGATATGTGCCTTCTGTGGTGAAGATAACAATTATACTGAAATTGGTTGTTTATATGGTCCCTATTGGCTTACAGAAGCAGATATGAAGCAATTACCTTCAGAGCTCATCTATGATTCCACTAATGAATATCAGTCTCCTGATACAGTGACTCAGTCTAATACACCCATGACTCCTGTATCCAGACGTGCAAGAAGTATAGAAAAGGCAATTCGTTCTGGTGTAATTACTTCGACTACTACACGATCGGCAGCAGCCCAAGGACGTCCTACAGCTGCTAATACTGGTTTTCTTCGCCTAGTTATCAAAGCTTCAAATAGTACGATAAATAATGATCACTCCCCGACAAAAAATTCACCCGATCTATCTAAGATAACAAACTCTTGCAGGCCTAGAGTAGGATCGAACGGTGAAGTCTGGTTTCATTTTGAATGTGTACTTTGGGCTCCTGGCACTTACGTGAACGGAAATGGTGTTATTGGCGGTCTTGGTGATGCATTACAATTAGCCCTTAATGCAGTAAGTTTTATTTCTACGACACTCAGTGTAATCTCTTTGATCATATATGTGTAGAATACTTTTTTGTGACAATAAACACCTTTTTAATCGATGCATAGAATTATCAAATTTTACAAACTGTCTTATTTACATCCAATGGAAATTTCACTGTATTTTATTCAGTAGAGCCGCTCTATGTTTCCAACAAGAATAGCAGTGACATATCAATTTCACAAATTATTGTTATCCTGGTTCTTCAGGAGTGTTCTAACCATATAATTACTTCAAAGTTTAAAATTTATTTCATTGTGGACATCCTTTGTCCTTAACTCATAATCTCACTGAATAATCAACCGATTTTTTTGTCTTTACTGAAGACTCGTGAAAAATCATCTCGTTGATTTAGATGCAAAATCATTGTAGATGGTTGCCACCCATTAGTCAATTCGATTAACCTCCAAACTTTACTTAACACTCTCTTCTCAAGTTATCAAAAAAGGCTTTCTATTATTTGACCCACCACGACTATGCGATCGTAGTTGTTGGCCTAGTGTCTGCCCGTTAACATGTTAAAAGGTATATTTTCAAGGTGAAATCTCATCTTAAAAAGATCATCTGACGGTTACAATGATTTGTAACTTGCATGTTCTTATAAAGTATTTGAACGGGATCACATTCGGTACATTATAAAACGCGTATGATCACTAAAGTAAGACGTCGTGTATATCTTTATATTTAGCCACAAGCTCTTCCCTGGAAAAAACCCAGTATAACAATAAATAGCTCTGTTTAATCAAACATTCTTGCAAATTCCCATTGGAACAGTTTTACTCAGTAATATTTCTTTGATGTCATCGTTGACCAACTTTGTACATATTTGAAAACTCAATAACAAGTGTCATTCGAAGGCATAGATAAAGTTGAATTGTCAGTGACCTATAAACTGTCTAGCGCAATTCTTGAATAATCACAACTCAGCTGAAAATTTTCATGGGGAATTTACGCTTTTACCAATCATTAGTTTTATATATTATCCTCTCTGTATTTTTTATAACCCTACGTGACTTGTGTGTTAGTTCTATTTATTACATATACTGAATCAGTGACCCAATGCTTAAGACATTCGACTTCCAACCACTACGTTCCTGATCCGAACCCCACCGCACTTCAGTTCGGGCAAATTAAAAAAACGTTAGTGGGGACCAAACCATGACTCCGTCAGTTCATCAATTCATTGGCTATTAAACCGATCCACATAGGTAGATACAAGCTATCTGGTTAGTGTCTGGATGGTCACTACAATCAACTGGTTGGGCACTTCGTGTGGTGTGCCTCAGGATAGGTGTTAACGGCACAGATACATTCACCTTTAATCTTCCTTTAGGTCTTGAATTCCAGTCTTCCTTCATTCACATTTTTTAACCATTTTCTCAGTCCTTATCCTTTCTTATTATCAATACTGCCACATTATTTCAATTACTATACTATTCATCTTGTCCTGCTTATGTGATATGGTGGCTTTGACTAGCGCATATACGTCCGAGTTTCTACATAGATGATGACTGCATTCAGTTTGCACAGCCCGATAGTCTCACTAAACGTCACACTTGGAGTGTGTGTGTGTGTGTGACTCGGCCCCAAGTATATGAGTTTGTATCTAGTAATTGAGTTAATAAGTATAGAAAAGATTTAATTACACATAAAATTGTTATTTCGACGAACTCAATCAGTCAAACACAACATAGAACGGGTACTTATATAAATCTGTCCAAGCTGCCATAACTCATTGGCACAGCCAGATGGCATCGTTAGTGTAATTCCCAAAGTGGTAGATGTGGTAACAGTATTAGTGGTAATCGAAAGTTTAGGCATCGAAGATACAGTTCCAAAACAATATAACTTCGTTTAATTCTATCCTATAAAATAAAACTTTAATTCTGTTTAATTAATTTCATTTATTTTCAATTATTTAGCATTGTTCACATTGTCAAAGACCTGGAGCAATTCTAAGTTGTTGTAATCGAGGATGCAATTTGAGTTATCATTATCAATGCGCACATAGAGCTGGTAAGAGAGTAAAGTTAGGTGTTTAAACAAAATTCTGAGCTATAATAATATTTCCGATAATTTTTTAGACCCTATAATGTAGTATTCTAGGTTTTCCCATTCCTTTCAATCATTTTTTAGAATAATAGATTTTTGTTGTAATTTCATTAGAAATACTTTATCTTTGATGAAAATGTCTTTTCTAGTTTTCTTCTTCTTCTTCCCTAATCACTTGTTTATTCATTGGTTCGAATCTACTGGCTATAATAAAATGGACTCAATAAACAGATGTACATATAATTCGACAAGGGTTATTTACCAGCAGAATCCAAGATGAACATTTCATTCTACTTGTTTGAATTTTTATTTCTTGTGTCTATTTAGGTTTATATTGCAAATAATATTTACACGTATTACTAACAGTTTCAAACATGAAAAAATCTCTCCAGTCAACTATTGAGTTGTGATAATAATCTCATCGTGTTTAACTGTTATTTCCATCAACTATAATCACTTCTGTGATTTATCATAGTAATTAAGTTTAATGGTCGTAGAGTTAGCATTCAGTAGTAGGTAAATAAACACAAGACGTAAGTGTTATTCATGGATCTTGAATCATATAATGCCCATTTTTAACTTTACTATCAAATTAATTACTTATCTGAAAATATTGAGATGTCCAGTCAGTAATATATTCCATATTTCAAGTAAATGAATGAATTAGTAATTCTACGAAAAGAAATTTTACACTAACACATCCTAATTTCAAGGCTGTTTCGTTGAAATGGTAGCGAATCTTCATCGACAGAAGCAGTTGAGACACATATTTATGTATTCCGAACTAGCATTAACCTGGACAGAAAATGTTTGCTGTAGTTACGATTAGGTTGAAAATAAACTAGCAGCGACTAATCCAAGTTTTAATGTCTGTCAGTGAAGTCATTGACGGTTAATAAGTGTCAGATGCATGGTTGAAATTCACATGATTGTCATAACCAGTGATTGGAGACATTTGGATGACATGGCGCTAATGTACTTTCTCCTTGTCTTCCTTCAGATCTTCAGTTTTAAGATTATCGTTTTCTGCCTATCCCACAAATTTGTCCTTATCAAATTACATTGTCTGTGGCTGGTATTTTCTACTACACGTGATATCGCTACTACTTCGTATACTGGGGTATTTGGCTTGTTGCTTTGCTGATATTGTTTGGCAACCGATGCTCATATGTCCCAGGTTTTATGTTCTCTGTGACTGACTAATTCATTTCATTGACCTATGTTAGATAACTGATCAGCAGACATATCTTAACAGACAGTCTACACAATTAAAAAGGTTTTTAAGGGTTCATAGTTCCTTTAGTTCTAGCAATGACATTTTCAGTGATTTCATCCCAACTTCCTTTGGTTTATAAATCAATACTCTTTTCTTCAACTTGGTTTACACTGCGATTATCGGGTTAAATCTCTATAAGGAGATAATTTATAAAATTCCCTTTTTTAAAATTTCATTTCGTTACTGTTTTTCATTCAACTCTAATAGATGTTACAGTATTTATTCAAAGACTATTAATAGGCAGGAAAATGTATTCTATCAACTTTATTCACCATATCTCATACCCGTATATTGTTGATCATCACTATCTTTTGTTGTGGAATTGTAGTAACTTACTTATTCCGAGAAGTTCGATGTGCATCATATTCAAGAATATTATTAGTACAAAAAATACGACAGTAAAATAATACAATTCCACCACAACTACAAAACCTATATTTAATACCTTCAATTTTTTTCGTTTATGTCCATATGACATTTGTTATCTCAGTCATTTGTACAATCAATTGTATAATTTCTTCAGTAATTGAAATATTCACATGAATTAGTTATCTTCTGGAAATTTCTTCTTAGCTTTTTTGTTGATCAAATGCGAGCTTGACAATAAAGTTAGTTTCAATAGTTGAGATCATGAGTCAATTGAAGTTAGGCCATCGTGGAAAATCTGAAAGCACTGGACGGCCGTTTCGTCCTATTGTGGGTCTCCTCAGCAATGCGCATCCACGACTACGTCTCGCGTGATTCGAACTTATGATCTCAACTACTGAAACTACTACAATCTCCACAAAACCCCTTCTGATACTAATAAAGTTAGTTTTATAAAACTCAAGTATGAGGCATAATTTTGATATTCGACGTTTCGAGCTAATCAATCGAAGGCCCCATCGAAATATATATTCATTTGTGTTGTTCAACAATCTAGTTGAAACGTGTACAGTGTATCGGTAATTGGAAAAAATCTAGGCATCATTAAATACTGCAACATTGTTTAGCTCGCAAACAATGATTTTTCGATTAAATCAGGGCTAATCTTATTGTCCAATCCTAATAAGATATTCTTCTTCGGTGTTGCAAATTCAATCTAATAGAGGACTGATGAAATATAGCTTCTTTTCATTAACATACCAGATTGATTTCAATATATCGTTAAATTAAAAAAAAAATTGAGTTCACAAAATGTGGAATACTGAGTTTCGACTTTGAGTAAATATTATCTTAATCCGCTTGATATCAGAATGTATGAGTTTTATTCATTACTGAACTGTAGGTTCATTATGATCCCCTTTGATAAAAAATCTATCCTATATTCTCTCACGCCAGTCAATCTCCTCTATTAATAATTTTCTGTGTTTATCAAGAAAGAAAAAAAAAGAAGATTAACCTATAACCTTCTATTTACTTTTAGAATGTCATTTGGATCGAGATCAATATATTTTGCTGTGCAAAAAGCATCATATCTATTCATAGTCGGTTAATCCATTGGCATAACAACAGATATCACATATATACTTATCATAGTGATTACGAAGTATTTGTTTTTATTACTGTTCCATGTTTATACATCCTAACACATTTAGTTTGTTTTTTCTTCAAAAAAGAAGCATTGTTTTGTAAAGATATCTTGTATATGTATGTAGTTAGATAGAGGTATGTTTGCACACTTTGTTTTTTCTTCAATGATATGATATGTTGTATAGGTGCTTAATAATTATTGAATCTAAACTACAGAAATAAGTGAACACTTTCTTTCCTATCACTTCACTACTTGTGAACAAACCACAATGTAGAAAGAAAGAAATAGTGATTGTACAGTTCTTTCTTCCATCTTTCTTTCTTTCGTTTTCATTATACACGTTTTGTTGTTTGTTTTTTACTCATGTACGTATTTATGCTCTTCATATTATTATTATTATTATTATTATTTTTTATTTTCCCTATTTTGACTCAAACTAAATCCGATAGTAATGATAATGATCAAAATATACAATCAAATCTACTTATCTATCTGATTTTATTCATGTATTTTATCAATGGAATTTGTTTCTCTATGCATGTATATCTATTTATGTATCAATTTATTTATGTATATGAATTTGTTGAAAGATTATGCCTTTTATATTTATTCTTTTGAAAATGTATATTTATGTCTATGGGAACAAGTGACAAATTGGTGAAAAGTTGGTGGGATTTAAGGAGCAGTTGATGAAAATATTTATACCTAGTAGATTTTGTGTGCATGTGTGTGTGTGTGTGAATAAGTGTGCCAAGTGTTACTATTCCTCTGAGTTTATTTTCCCCTCATTTTGATCTATAAAATATACCAAAATAAATTGAATATTAATTATAGTGTATACGTGTTCTCAAATGTTGAGAGAAACAATTCCACTTCTGATGATTTCCAGTTGATTTTTCTAAATTACTACTATTCTTCTTTGTCTTATCTGTTGGTTTTCTTTCCAAAATAGTATCCACTTGTATATGAAAGGTGTTTGTTAGTCTTGTTTTCTAGTTAATTGTTTTTACTATAATTGTGCTTCTCCTATTGTGTGTTTTTAATACGATTACTTCTATGTGTGTATAAGAGGTCATGATATATATATATATATATATATATACTATAACAGTCTATCCGCCTACAGATTATGTGTGTCCAGTACCCAAGCTTGTTATATACTGTTTATTTGTTTGTAATGATGACCTTATACCATGGAAATTTTGCGTTTGTATATATTTGTGCACTAAGTGAATTATTCTCAACTCATACTTCAATATGGTGGACGACACTGCTTCTATCATCTCGCTCTCTCCTGTCCAACTTGAGTAAGAATTCCAGGTTTGTGTAGATTTTTTTGATAAAGAACCCAGGAAAACTAATTTACATACTAGTTAAGTCAATATGTATTGACCAAATTCAATGATTATTCATTACAAAATTTGTTACTCAGTATTTGTCACTTTGCATAAAATTACAATGAAAGTGCCTTGAAGTCGACCAATTAATGTCATACTGGATAAATCAATACAAATGAAAAATGTCGAAAACCAGTTGTTCAAACAGTTAATGGTAGCGGTTGGGGTCCGTTACATTTATTTGATCACCCTCTCCCAAATAAAACTTCTAGGACATATCCGACTGTAAACTCTATTTATTATTCGGTGGTCATTGCACCATCATTTTGGTGTGTTCTGTCTATTTGTTCAGTATTCTTTATTTCGTTTAGAAAATTGAAGTGGTTGTATTAGATGAATAAGATTGTTGAAACAAATAAGATTTAGTTTATATCGAACTTATGGACCGATGCCTTTCAGTATTATCAGATTAAGATCTTTCAAAGCATTCAAGGAGTGGAATTAACGTCAACACTAATTAGCTGTGTACATAGTCATGATTTTCTATGGGACTAAATGAATAAGAAGTTCTTACGTTATTAGCCGCAATCTCAATGAAATGAATCCTCTAACTGGAACTATATTTTAAACAGAAATGATTGAGTTGATCAATACAACGATGACCAGAATACAGCACTGGACAGTGCGGATGTTAATTACTTATATATCGTATCCCTAATGTGTTATGTGTAGACACCTTACTTTTGGTATATATATATATATATATATATATATATATATATATATATGCATGTGAAATTAACCTGGAATATAGTGGGAAGTGGTTGGACAAGCTTTACTGATTGGTTTAACAATAGAAAAGGGCCTATTCAAACAACTAACTAAAATGTAGTACATAGATCCACAGGTCTCACTCGTCGGCTGCATAAAATCTTGGTATCGTCAGTTACAGTATTATCCTAGGACGATGGTGTTCTTGCGAACAGTTTAGACGGATGAAATGACGACCAGTTGCATCTAGTGTTACCATTTTATGAATAAGGTCAATAAGTAAGAAACATCGAAGGTTAACAATATTGTCAACTTGTTGCGTCCCTTAAGTTTCAGAGACTAAGTTTTGAGCCACTCCTGAGTTTGTCAGTTGCCCATCTTTTTCTCATCGACTGTAATGTTTGCACAAAAAGTAACTTTTATACATTATGAGCATTTTCGAGTACAGAGAAGTTCAATTATGAGAAGCTTGATACTCCACAAATTAGCCTTCAGAGGTTTCCGGCAACTGCATCAACCAATATCATGAATCAGTAAGGTGATGCTTAGGCCTCCGAACCGCACAATATAAGTTTTCTCCATTACAAATACTGAAATAAACTGTTCAGCTGACTGGAACTCATGTTTTCCTGTAAAAAGGTGGGTGGTGCATCAAAGTAATAAGAGTATTACAATGATTATGTAGGAAGCAATTTCCTACAGATTCAACTCTAAGCTAGTCCCTAGACTGTCGAATACAAAGTCTTGGTTCGGCCAAAGTCAGAACAAGCAAGCTAAATTGGCTAGATAAACTTTATCTGTTTCTAAAACATAAATTAACATCGTTAGTGTACAAACAAACTGAACGGTCTATTAATACAGGGAAAAAACAGACAAATAACATACCGAACAGTAGCCAGAGAATAGGAAAAATGAGTCAAGAAAGCAAATATTGTTTTACAATGAACATCAAACTGCGATTGGTTAATAAAGAGATACAGTCGCACAAGATCAAAGGGAGTTAATGTGGTGGTGGGCGTTTCACTTTATTATTGGTGTGTTCGTCTATCGATCACATTTTACAGTTTCAATGTCATGTTTTATTGAAACATCATGAAGAATCTATTAAATCAATCAGTGATTTGTTATAAACAGTCAGATAACGAATGACATGACCAACAAGATTTACAGAATAAAGTAAATCATTGGCAGATTAAATGTGCAACTGTTGTTACATCTTCCACAAACAGACTGTTTTAACATTCCAAAGACTATGAAATGCCATTTGGAAAAAGTAACACCGTTTAGTGAGATGACATGGTAAACGGAAGTGAAGCATCGATTGTAGTAGAGTTATATCACAGATCGACATCGGGGTAGAGATTATAACAAGAGAGTGATGGAATGGTTTTGTTGTTTTTGCACAGTCCTCAAATGTGTACACCGACCATTGTCGACAGGGATTTAACTAACCACCCTGAAGTTAACTTGCTGTTGTTTTATTATCAGATCACACAGTTACAAACCAACAATCGACATTCCTAATTTTAAACGAACTTTCGTTATGGCATGTGTACTAACGAGTTCCACAGCTAGATACAATCTCCTTACCAACATAACCGAACTTCGTTATTGATAAGCTTCATTAGAACCTTGGGAACATGTCTCGATGAAATTCAACAGTGAGAAATAGTTATAATAATAATGAGAGCAAACGTCTGTGCGTATGATCTCTGAAATGGTCTGGAAGAGGAGTCACGTAGTGAGACGAAACGTCGCTTAAATTTCCACTGATTTTAAAATAATGTCAGCCAACGACGAATTTCTAATGATAATCAAACTAGTCTTCACAAAATCTTTAAATAATATTTAAACATGACTACGAGGAAGTTAATTAAATAAACAACAATAAAACTCCTTGAAATATAAGTACGAAAGTTTGTGGAGATCAGAGTAATTTCGCCATTGGAGGTCGTTGAATTCCTGGAAGCACTGGACAGTCGTTTGGTAGTAGTATGAGAATCCTAACCCGTGCTTATCCACGTTCCTACGAGACTCAAACCCAAGACGTTCAGTCTCAAGAGCGGACAGATAACGTTCACACCACTAACCTGCTATCCAATCGTGTCAATGTTTAGCTTCAACAAATCCATGCTCTAGCGAGACTCATCATCTGTTCCATGAGGGGTATATCGATCTCACACTGACAAGCTTATTTTGTAAATAGTTTTTAATATTATTGTATTTGTCAATTTCTCACTGTATGTACATTTATCATTAAATGATTGTACCTGTTGTTTAAGTAAAATGACCTTGAAGACACTTTCCGTTGTAATTCTGACATAGCGTGACATACTTTCGGTTGTTCGCAAATACACTATTACGCACATACCCATTGTTCTGTTCTCGCTCGTTACCAAGTCAATCGCGTTCTAAACTGGATATTATCCTCATTTTAGACTGCTGTGTCATTTCCATTATATCCTACGTCAAAGAAACTTATTGGCGTCATATTTACCTCTGTGGAATTATTACGCATTTATAATTGTGGATTTATGGGACCAAAACTCAACAGAATACGCAACGACTAGCCGATTTAAGTAACGTCCCTGAACTTTTAATTTGTGTTGTTAATTTATAAATTATTATTGTTACATTAATTTTGGACGTAATAACTTTATCACTGATTTTTGGTTATTATACTTTTTGGTCCACCACACACACTCGACGCAGACTGAACTCCAAAGGTTACGGTCTCTCACTACTATTAAAATGTTATTTTTATCTGTAATTGATGTGTGGAGAGTGAAAAGGACATAGTGTTTTTCCACCAATATAATTCCAGTGATTTTTCAAAAATATGGACAAGGTACTCTTAGTAAGAACTTCTTTCACTCTGCTTACGATTGTTGGTCACGTTCGGAGGAATGATATTTTGAAAATATTGACCGAAATTATCAAGCATTTCAGAATAAAGATTATTCTCGGTTGATATCTCAGTTCTTAGAAGGTGAAGAGGGATTGATTCATATATGGATTGAATTTTCCCTCGACATTTTGCATGTTAAAATGATGTTTGATCAGTAAACTTGAAATAAATCGTTTACAAAAGGTGGATGTGATCGATTAGCAATTTTAGATTGAGAATAGTTATAAAAAGAAAGTAAATTTGGAAATGGCAAATGCCGACATAGACCTCGAAATCACTTGTGATCGATGTAAGTTGTACAAATCCAGTTCACAATCATACGTGTATATAAATCTGTAAATTTTTGGAATAAACCTGTTTACTGATTGTAAATAAGTAGTATGAAATATTACGCAAAAGAGTGGAAGAGAAGTCAGTAAAGACAAAAAGTGTAAAACAGACTTGAAAATGTCCTATATTTAATAAAATACAACATCACTTTTAGACACACAGTTTACAATATTCTCAACAAGGATATGCGGTTTGTCAACACAATCAAGTATTTGTTCATGGAGGTGATATTGTATAAAATCCATTCGCTATTACTTCGTTTTAATTAGTCATAATCATTTATCGTTATTCCCATATTTATCCCAGTTTAAATACTGATTATCATGCTGCTTTGATACTGTTATTGATTATTCAATAGTTGTATATCAATTAAATGACTACTGATTTCAAAATGATAAGTAATAACTAATTATGTCAATTAGTATAGAGATCTAATGAATGGGTATTATGTATTGATGGTCAGAATGTTCACCGACATCATTAAAATGGTATGAAGTTGTATGATGTGAGATCAATATAGAGTCAATTATACTTACATGGTAAACAATGCACTTACCTATTACGTAATGAGTAGCGAAACCGATGAAATCTTCTACATTATTTTTATCTATGTAGAATGTCACAATATGTGTCTACGATGCACATTGTTGACACTGTAATGTGTTTTGAATTCAGTTCTAGGTGGATGATTTTAATGGAGATGTTGTTTACTTTTACATTTACTG